TATGTGAGGATGATGGTGTTGCCTCTGTCAGGGGTCCTCCTTGGGACCTGTGAGAGCTGCCGCTGGGCACCCTGACCTCTGCTCACCCTTGCCCCTCTCACCCCCACCTCTCACCCCTGCCCCCTTTCCCTCCTCTTCTGGGCACCTTGTAGGGCTCCTATCTCTGGCTTTTCAGAGTCCAGCCATCTGGCATTGCTGTCTGTGCTGGGCGATGTTTTGCCTCTGGACCCTGAAATGACAGCAACCTGTTCTCTGGCCACACATTCTGTCCAGCCTCAGTGGCTCCCCTTCCTGCCCACCTTTCTCCAAGTCTCTCAGCTGCTTCTGCAGAGCCTGATACAGGGTGGCCCCTGTGGGGCTCTGATCTCTTGTCTTCCTGCCTCCCTTCCCTTAGAGCCCCACAGCTTGTTACTCTGCCTCCATTTCTGAGACTGGAGGCAAGAAACCCACCTGCGCGATGGGCCTTCTGGTCCAAGGCAGAGCTGGGGCCACCCTCTCCTTGTCCTATTGTGGCTCCCTCTGCCCTTCCCCCAGTAGGACACCACAGTCCNTTGTAACATAGATTTTCTTCTATTTTGTGAGTTTCCTTTTCATTTTCTTGATGGTGGACTTTTTTTTTTTTTTTTTTTTCCTTTTTTTTTTTTTTTACTGACCGGTAACGGGATCGCTATCCTCGGCGCTATGCCCGCACCGCGCTCAGCCAGTGAGCGGTAACCGGTCTCCACATGGGATCCGAACCCTCAGCGGGAGCGCCGCCGCGCTCCCAAGCGGCGCACTCTCCAGTGCTCCACTGGGCCGGCCCATTGATGGTGGACTTTGATGCAGAAAAGTTTTGAAATTTGATAAAGCCCCATTTGTCTATTTTTCTTCTATTTTCTGTATTTTTGGTGTCATAACTAAGAAATTATTGCCAAGTTCAGTGTCATAAAGCTTTCCTCCTAAGTTTTGTATTAAGAGTTTTATTATGTTAGCTTTTACATTTAAGTCTTTTAAAATTTTTTTGTTCATTTTTGTATGTGTTTTAAGGTAAGGATCCAAGTTGGTTCTTTTGCCAGTTTATCCAGAATAATTTTTTGAAAAGATGCTCTTTTCCCCACTGAATGGTCTTGGCACCCTTGTTGAAGATCCCTTGGCCATATATGTGAAGGATTATTTCTGGGCTCTGTGTTCTATTCCACGGGTCCGTATGCTGCTGTTTTCATTACTGTAGCTTTTAGCAAGTTTTGAAATGAGGAAGTGTTTGAAATCAGCTTGAGTGTGTGATTGGGAGTGGACCCTGCAAGCTTCTGAGTGTGGCTTGGACTAGGCTTGCAGGGCCAGCTTATGGCCTGTTGCTATCAGCATGGCGGACAGTGCCTGTATCACTGCATCTGGAGCCTCCTACCTGAAAGGGCTAGGATGGTGCGTCCATCTCCGCAGCCTGTCCTGTCCCACTGGTCACCAGTGCATACCAGTCCCACAGGCCTCCAGTGCAAGTGGCTGGAGGCACAGAGCTGCCCTCCTGTCTGAGAGACTGGCCTTGCTCTCAGGACCAGCGGATGGAGCAGGCCAACAGGGGAGGAGCCACGGGGTGTTGGTGGGAGTCAGGGAAAGCTTTGGAGAAGAGAGGCATGGTGAAGCTCAGAGCGGAGGTGAGGACCTGGCTCTGAGTGTGCTGAGGAGGTTCTGGCTTTGAGCTGAGGTTGCCATGGGCAGTAGGCTTTGGTGAGGGCTGGCCCAGTTCTTTCCACCTGGGTCCAGCAGTCTGGCACCTGGCCAGGGTTGCCTCTGAGTTATGTGAGGATGATGGTGTTGCCTCTGTCAGGGGTCCTCCTTGGGACCTGTGAGAGCTGCCCCTGGGCACCCTGACCTCTGCTCACCCTTGCACCTTTCACCCCCACCTCTCACCCCTGCCCCCTTTCCCTCCTGTTCTGGGCACCTTGTAGGGCTCCTATCTCTGGCTTTTCAGAGTCCAGCCATCTGGCATTGCTGTCTGTGCTGGGCGATGTTTTGCCTCTGAACCCTGAAATGCCAGCAACCTGTTCTCTGGCCACACATTCTGCCCAGCCTCAGTGGCTCCCCTTCCTGCCCACCTTTCTCCAAGTCTCTCAGCTGCTTCTGCAGAACCTGATACAGGGTGGGCCCTGTGGGGCTCTGATCTCTTGTCTTCCTGCCTCCCTTCCCTTAGAGCTCCACAGCTTGTTACTCTGCCTCCATTTCTGAGACTGGAGGCAAGAAATCCACCTGCGCGATGGGCCTTCTGGTCCCAGGCAGAGCTGGGGTCACCCTCTCCTTGTCCTATTGTGGCTCCCTCTGCCCTTCCCCCAGTAGGACACCACAGTCCATACCTCGCCCTTCAGCCCCCACCTCCACCCAGTGCTTCCCTTTCTGTGGAAACCCCACTCAGCTGACTGTGCTTCTCACACTGTGGAGAAGGTACAGGTTTTGGGCAGCCCTGCCACCACCGCCCTGGCCCAGTGGTGGTCCTCTCTGTGGCTCACCTCTGACTCGGCCATCTGTGAGAGGGGAAGAGCCCCCACTCCCATCTCACCGAGACCTGCTTTGGCTCTTGCCTCCTCTCCCATAGGAGTCTTGCCTCCTCAGCTTGTGAACTTACTCAGGCTGCTCTCATCCTAGAGCAGAGAGGCAGACAGACAACTGGCAAGGCCTCACCTGTGCTGTCCTGGAGGACACAGGCAGGTGCATGGCAGCACTCCTGCTGGCCATCTCATCTCGTTGAGCTCCTGCAGGTCCTCACTGACCCCTGTGGGGTGCTGCGCTGTGAATGCAGAGGACCCTTCTACAGCTCTTTTCCCTTGAGGGCTGATGCTGCTCGGAGTCAGTGCCATGGCCCAGTGGGCAAGGCCAGCACAGCTTCGGCAAGAGAGGGACTTTGTCCTGGATCCTGCCTGGGCCTCTGTCCAGCTGGGCAGACTGAGACACGTCCTGTCATCTCTGTGCCTCAGCTTCCCTTCTGGGAATTGGTGACAGTAAAGCTCCTCCCCACAGGCCTGAGAGCTGAGGGAAGTGATGGCCACCAGCTGTGAGTTAGGGCCCGCCAGTGCCCCTTCTCTCCTGGAAAGCTGGGCTGTTTGGTGAAGGGGGAGGGCTTTTCTCCTGAGTGAGGAGTGTCCATGTAAATGGGGGCCATGCTCCCCACTTCCCCACAGCCTGAAGATGACAGTGGGTGGCCCTGCCCCCCCTCACCCCACCTCCACCACCAGTTGCCCACGACCTCCCAAGGGTCTCAGCCGAGGGCGCAGCAGGACTTCTGGGCTGCATGGAGCTGTGTGGATGGGGCTTCCCACCCCCTGCCCTCCTGACGCAGGCACCGTCTTCTTGCACCTTTGCTGCTACCGTCTTGGAGAGAATGGACTGGCTTATGGTGCAGCTGGCTGGGCAGTGGCAGAGCCAGGTCAGAAGCCTGGCTTCCTGTGGCCTTCCTGGGGAGGGGGAGTGGTCAGGTGAAGGCAGCCCCAGCTGGTAGAGGAGGGAGAAGGGGTATGCATGGGCATGGCTGGCCTTCTGACCACCCTCTGTGCTGCGAGGTGTGTGGCCCCCTTCCTGACTTGTGGCATCTGGCCTGGGTGCGAAGGTGCGTGTAGCACTTGCATGTGTCGTGGAGTGTGCGTGTGTGTGTGTTTGTGTGTAGGGCCTGGGTGCAAAGGTGTGGAGCACATCCATGTGTCATGGGTGTGTGTGTGTGTCTGTGTGCATTTGTCTCCCTGTTCTCCAGTGTTGTTCCTTGGTGATCTGTGTGGTTTTGACTCTTTGGCTAGCCTGAGTGACGTTGATCTGGGAGCGCTGATATACAGAGTTTTTGTGGGAACATATGTTTTCAGTTCTCTTGGGTTGTCTCCAGCATGAAATTGCTTGGCCAGGTAGTCACATGACATTTCACAGCTTGAAAACCTGCCAGTCAAGTCTCCTACAAGTCTGTACCATTTTACAATCCCTGTGTATCCTGTCAATGCTTTGTATTGACTGTCTTTTTGATGACAGCCCTTGTGATTTGTGTGAAGTATGATGTCACAGGGGTTCCGTACACATTTCCTCAGTGGCGAGGATGAGTATGTTTGTAAGTGCTTTTTGGCCATGCGTCTGTACCTCCCTTAGAGAAATGTTTAGTTGAATTTTTTTTTTTTTTTCCTTTCTGTCTTTTTTTCGTGACCGGCAACGGATCGCAACCCTCAGTGTCACGCCCGTAACGGACCGGGACCGGCAACGGGATCGCAACCCTCGGTGTTGTGCCCGCACCTCGCTCAGCCAGTGAGCGGCCGGTCTGTATGTGGGATCCGAACCCTCGGCGGGAGCGCCA